TACAATACAATACAATACAGAATCAGAGACTCAACCAGTAGAAACTCTGATCGGCGTCTCTACGGGTAGAATCTGAGATTCTACCAGTAGAAACTGCAATCGGAGACTCTACTGGTAGAAACTCCGATCGGAGTCTCTACTGGTAGAATCTCTGATTCTACCCGATTGCAGTCTCTACCCTGACATATATATATATATATATATATATATATATATATATATATATATATATATATATATATATATATACGTATACATATGTGTGTGTATGTGTGTGTTTGTATACACACACACACACACACACACACACACACACACACACACACACACACACACACACACACACACACACACACACACACACACACACACACACACACACACACACACACACACACACACACACAAATAAACACCCCTATAATTCAGTGACGTACAGATGACTCAACACTAAATATCGTTTTAGAATACTTGTCATCTTAAACTTCATAGATATTTTCCTCCTTCTCCCTCAAGCCCTGGATGTTAGTTATGTTCTCCATCCTTCGAAACCTGCCAAAGCCAGAGGTCGATGGAGATTGGTGACCTGCGCAGACTCAGATTGTGCGGAAACACCCAGCGACAGATCTACACATGTGCGACAGGAATATTACCTTCAAACATTGTTTCTGTGTCGTCAGTGATAGGGACAAAATTATTATTCCTGTGTCTAATCAACCTTATTTAGGGGGAATGTTACTCTCCCAGATACTTGGGAATTTGCTAGTTAGTTTACTACGGCTAACGGAGGTTCATTCAGTATGAAAACAAAGAAAAGGTTCAGCTTAATGTTGCTTTGTCAGGACGCTAATCGAGAATCCAGTGGTTGTCCAGAGTCAAGAAAAGCTCTTGTCAAAAGACCCCAGCGTCTGAATATCGATTAGCAGCCTTATCTAATCAAAATCAATTCACAGAGGAATCTCCCGTGTCGCAGAATCCTTCGGGAGGGCAGTCCCAAAGCAACCAGGTGTGCCGAGCACGTAGGTTTTAAACTGTCTAAACTCTTCCTATGAGTCACTTCTTGAGAAAATTCGGCCCATTTCAAATTATAGAAGCTGATCATACTTGGAGATTTCAGTTCTCGTGTAGGTAGAGAACAAAATACCTGAAGTGATCTTAATCCTTGTGGAACAGACAAGATGATTTAGTTCTTTGAATGATTAAATACTCCTCAATAAGGAGTACGAGGATGAGATACTGATGAAGTTGTAGAAACTTCTAGGGAGGAAGGGGGAGGAGCGGAGGGAAGGGCAGCGCTGGGGTAGGGAGCCAGAGAAAACTCTGGCCTTGCATAAAGTGAAACCAAGTTTGAATCTGAGAAATGCAACTTCAGACTCAAAATCGTAGGCAAAGCAGCCTCTGTAGAATGCATCATGGAAGCCACCATAATCGGCACACTTGCGATTACGCAGAGCAGTTTGAACGATCATGACCAGTCTGAGCGTCTAGATAGTAGCGGGCTGTGTAACGACAATATTTCGCGCGGATTATTAAGATGATGAGTAGAAATAAGGAAGAAGGGAGTAGAAAATGAAGACTGTGGAGGGTGAGGAGATGGGGTGGAGTATAGGAGAAAGGAAGGAATGTTTTCTGAAGGTTGAGTAATGACCTGGGTGGGTGACTTGGAATGGTCTGAGCTGACAGCAGGTATTGAAGAAATGGTAGTAGTAGCAGTGTTCGGAGTCGTGGTCAAAGGAGAGCCAGGAGTAATGAACCTGAAAAGTTGGGCTAGTTGATAAAAGGGCAAGCCATAGTAAGCCTGGGGTATGAGGAGGCGAGAAACCTCTTATAAGTCCCCATAGCTCCATGAGGCCGTTCAGAACCCAAAGCCAACGTTTTATCCTTTCAACAAAGATTTTACATTTTACGAAGTAGGCAGCTGAAGGGGTTGGGGAAGAGAAGGACAGGGAAGGGGGAAGAAAAGGATTTGGTTAAGCCAGAGGCCTGAGGCAGGGATGAAACCCAACATTATGCTTAAGCGTCTCCACAACAGCGGGCATGGGATTGGGGGGGGTGTATGTATGTATGTGTATATATATATATATATATATATATATATATATATATATATATATATATATATATATATATATATATATATATATATATATGTATATATATATATATATATATATATATATATATATATATATATATATATATATATATATATATATATATATATATATATATATAAAGACCCTGAATTAGTGTGTGATAACTACCGTGGCATTACCTGGCTGGAAACTGTCAATACAGTCTTAGCTCGAGTTCTTTTCAACAGGATTCTTAGCGGCATGGTTTCAATAGCTATTCCAGAAGATCAATGTGGATTTAGATCTGGAAGAAGCACCTATATAATATTCTCTGTAAGGCAACTCAAGGAGATATACATTGAACAAGTCTGTTTCTAGTCTTCATAGATATGTCAAAAGCTATTCATATTGTCAACCATAAAGCT